TGCCCTCCCTGGGCACCCTGCTGTCTGGTTCTCTCTGTCTCACCTGAGTTGGGGCAGGTACGGTCCCTGGTCCTTGGGGGCCGGTGAAAAGGGAGCCTGGCAGCAGGGGCTACAATCGGGGTCAGGCTCCTCTCTAAGAATCACTTTTACATTTTCTTTTCTTTCTAAGTTTGCCAGACCCTGAACCATTCTCCAGAGCAAGTCTTTTTTTGAAGTTATTTTTAATGTCTGAAGAAGAAAACTGTGGTGGGGACAGTGCCCCGGGTCTCGGGGTGATCCAGCCACTGCAGGAGTCATGCAGGGCAGGACGCTGGATGGGGACAGGGTCTGGTCACATTGCTCTGGCCTTTCCTCCGGGAGGGACGCTGGTGATGACCGCAGGCCTGGGCGAAGGGGGACTGCCCCACACAAGTCTGGTCAAGGCAAGAGCTTGTGCAAAAAAGCAGAGAGCTCAACAGTGGGAAGGGTGAGCAGTGACTGTCCAGGGTTGACTTGGGGACACTGCTTCTGAGGAAAGTAAAACGAGAGCCTGTTAATTTCTTTCATGAGTATTATCTATCAAGTCCCCAGCTTATTGCACCAGCCACCTGGCCCTCTGTGCCTCTCTGTGCATCCCAGAGATGTGGCCTCAGTGGCAGCAGTGCATTACCAGAAGTGGGTCTGGTCTTGTCACAGCAGATACAAGGCCCTCAACTCTGCCCCCTCCGTGCTAGAGGCACCGCGTCCCCTGCTGTAGGACTCAGTGTGCTTGCTGCCCTGGCCCTGACGCTAATCATCGCACCTTTGCAGGGTCAGAAAGAGCACTGTCAGGCCAGCTTGCAAACTCCAGGTCAGCGTCTCTTCTGAGTCCGTCTTGGAGATGGTCCTCCAGCGGGAAACTCCAGACCCTCGCCCGATTCTTTCTCAGTCACTCCACACTCCCAAGGGGCCCTGGCTCTGCAGAACTCTTCTGGGAGCCGCCGCCTCACCCCACCCCTGCCTTTCCTTGGCCTGGACACAACAGGTCCTCATATGTGGTCTGGCTCACTGGGCCCAGACTGAGCCCCTCTAATTCACTCCCAAGACCGGCCTCCTGCTCTAAGGTACACATCTGATCTCTCCCTCTGCTGTGGAAAACGTGCAGCGCCGGCCTCAGAGGCTGGTGTTCCAGAACGGCGCCGAGCCCGAAGAGCATCTGGCCTCGCCCTTGCGCGCAGCCGTGGTGATCCGAAGCTCCGGAGGTGTGTGGGCGTGGCTGCCCCTATGTCCGCCCCTCAGTCTTCCGTCGCTCATTTACCCGCCGCCTCTACACTTACTTTAAACTCCACCGAGACCTACCCACGTGGGAAGCTCCCGATTCTGGCCCAACCGGGCTGCTGCGAGAGCCCCATGGCCGCCCTGGTAAGCTCACTGTCCCGACGGGCGGCTCTCTCTGTCCCCCAAACTACACCGCGAGTCTCAAGACTTCCGCCGGGTCTCACCTCGTACAACCCGCGTCGGAGATGAGCCTCACGTAGGAAGGGGGCCATCTGCTGAGAGGTGGCCGATGGGCGGCACCTCCTCCTGATGCAGCCAGGAGGGACCACCCAGCGCCTCCGTTTCCTGAGCGTTGTTCTGCGTGAGTGTAGCTTGGCCCAGTGCTCAGAGTCCACGGTTGTCTTGCCATCCTCTCCCGGTGGAGAACAGAAGGATATTTTGTCTGGCCTTGTGGGGGCAAAATAACCAAGGCGAGGAAGGGCTAGTTGGGGCCCCGCTGCAGAGAAAAGAGGAGTTTACCAAGGAAGCCACGAGATTGCAAACGGCGAGCTCCTCTGCTTTATACAATGAAAACTCACAATGATGGGCAGGGAAAACCAGGCGCCCCTGTGTGCTCAGCCTTCTTGTTTATACCCACAGCATGAAACAGCCCCATCTCTCGTCACTCTCCGCTGGGCCCCTCTATGAGCACTAACTTGTTTAATGAAGGCGCTGGCGTTTCTCAGCTCCCCTGTAACGGATGCAGAGAGGAAGCACGGCCGGCCACCGCACAGCCCGGCGCATGGCGGAGCAGCGGGGTGGCCCCAGGGCAGCCTGGCCCCCGAGCCCGTGCCCTCGGCTGCCCTGCCTCTCACGCAAGCCTGAGGTACTGCCTGCCTGGTGGCCACAGAGAAGT